TTGGAGTGTGTAGTCATAAAGGTCTCTTTCTTGACTTTTAAAATCTTGTTACATTGGAAAAGGTGGTGCCTCGAATTTTTTGAAGATCACCTGCATATACTTTGAAAAGAAGATTATTGTATTCTTCAACATGAAAGAATATTTGTATTGATAATTTTCACGTATATGCTCATTTCGTATCCCATCTCTAAGGGTCAAGCGACTCATCCACCTAAGCATCTCATCTCTTCAACATTTAATGGCCAACATTCGGCACCATAAAGCATTAACTGATATATGAGATAAAAAAAATATTATAGATGAAGAAGAGTTTGCGGATGGATTTGACATAAATTATGAAGATTCTTCATAAGAAAATCAGAGTGATGAAGAGCTTGCATTAGGTTTTGATCCTAAGGGGGTGTTTCATGTTTAAGTGAGTTTATTTTGAATCTTGTGCTCCAGTAATATTATCTTAGAAAAAATCATCACGATCATAATTGACAATATTTTATCATTTTTTATCATTATTTATAATTTTAAATTATTATTTTTTTTATCGTTTTGAGGCTTACGTATCAATCCGCCTTGAGGCTTATGCCTCACCTCGCTTAGATGAAATGCCTCGATTCCTGATTTCACCTTTTAAAACATTGTACTTTACTAATGAAAAATTTTAAATTCTTATTCTATATGCTGATGATATAATTATTATATGTGGTGATAAAAAAAAAGAGACAAACAATGAAAAAAAATACGCTTAAAACAATTGAAATCAAAGAGCTGGATAAACCCAGATACTTCTTGTGTATAGAAGTTAATCAAAATAAAAATTTTTCTGAAAAAAAATGATATGGACATACTACAACAACAACAACATCAAGCCTTTGTCCCACTACGTGGGGTCGGCTACATGAATCTTTTTTCGTCATTATGGACATACTAAAGGAAATAAAACTGATTGATTTCAAACCTTGTGAAACTCCAACTAAATCAAGTTAGAAATTGAATAAAAATAAAAATAAAACATAAGTGGACATGGTATAATATTAAAAATTGGTTGAAAAATTAATCTATCTCACACATGTCCTAACTTCTCCTTCATGATAAGTCTCATTAGTCAATTTATGCAAAAAACCAAATCGCCTTACTTTAAAAGTATTTATAAAGTTTCAAGGTACCTTAAATAAAGTTTCAAAAAATTGATTCTCTACAAAAAAAAAAAAAAAACGATATTTTATAAATTGAAGATTACATTGATGCTAGCTTGAAATATCACAAGTGAATAGGAGATTCACTTCTAGATATTGAACACTTCTGGGAGAAAATCTTATAGCATGAAGTAAGAAGAAACCTATTGTTTCAAGATCCAATGCTGAATCTAAATTAAGAGCAATTGCCAAAGATATCTGCAACCTTCAATAGATTAAAACTATTATAGTAGATTATAAATAAGGTGGGAAGAGGCTATGAAAATAAATTAGGATAATAAACATACCATCAATATTGCTCATAAGTTACCACAACATGATCAAACCGACATGTTGATATATTCACGAATAGATTTTGCAACAGCACATTCAAAAATATTATAAGTAACATTAGGATGATATATCTATAACCTCTAGTTTCAGAGAAAGTGCTGACCGGTCAAAGGGCCTAGTGGGGATCAAAAGTTAGCAAGCTTAGTGGGGCATGCAAAAACTGCCTGACAAGCAAAGAAAAAGCCACAAATCCCTCGTCCAAGTATGGAAACACCTCTCCCAACAATCCATGAAAAATAAAGGGAGGAAGCCTCTGACCACTCATGTGGCACCAATTGGCATATTCGATAAACCCTTAAGGAAGTGGATAGTTAATGGGCCTTTATTTTATTTTTTTGAGTTATTGTACTTAATTATTTTTAATTATTACCTATGTAATTTTGTATATAGAAACCCACTGAAGGAATCAACAACTCAAACTTCCCTAGCTAGCTCTTTCTATAAATAGAGAATATTAAAAAAAAAGCCAAACAAATATATACCAAAAGAGCGAATCCTAAAACTACTAATCTCAATCAAGGATTGAAATTGCACAACCGAATATTGAGATAGCTTTTTCTCTGAGCATATGCCTCAAGGCATTTTGAAGAAACAACATCAAAATTAGACAATTAAATTGATTAAGAAATATGAAATAATAAGTAACACACTAATATCAAAGTAAGATGTCAAGATAAGATCATAAAAAGTAAAAAAGTAAAAATCATAAATATTCATACTATATTATAAGCACTAAATAATAAATCTAACACACTCCCAATTCAATATAGAAAAATAGTCTAAGATCACAGTATATGAATTAAAAAATTTTACCTTTCATCAATTGAAGAAGAGTCTTTCATTATAATTAATTGATTTCTATCAGGTATCCACAGTTACCAACGTCCACTAAATCTTCCTTATAAACTTTAATCTCAACCATTTTCTCTTCCTTAATCAATAAAAATCAATAAGAATATTAATTAAATTTTAAGAGAATGAATATATTGATGAATCTCTATTATATAAACTCTTATACTAATTTTTTATAGTACTTTATCATTCACTTGTATTAGCCTTATTCCTTCCTCTATCAAAAAAGTCAATATTTTTTTTTTATTTTATAATTGTAAAGGTATAACTCCATTTTAATCCTCCACCAACCATTCATCATCCGATGGCACATCATTATTAAGTTATGGACAGTCTTCATCATTTGGTGGCACATCATTATTAAGTAATGGATAATCTTTATCCTCGAAAACTCTCTTCATCAAATGTCAATATTTTAATCTCTTATCATAAATAATATAAACTAATGAGTTTATCTTTAAAATAGTTAACTGACTTCATCTCCCATTATGAACTTTATAATAAGTACTCCAATTTCACTCAAACACTTTTGACGAACAGTCAACACCTATAGAATTTCTTCCTTTGGTATGAATTTTGTTATAAGTACCCTAATTTTGCTCACACCTTAATAATGATCATTTAAAGCCTAGTACTTCGATTGCAAATATTTGTAATTCAAGAGTATAATCTCCAAATTAAATCTGCCACTCAAAAAATTAATAAATAAAATAAAATTATCATTGTATACAAATTAAAAAAAATTAACATGTAAATTAAAATTTTTAAATAATCATGTGATTCCTAAGACTAGAGGTTCTGTCACGACCCGGCCCGGATGCTCGATCTACGAGGCGGGTACGGAAAGTCGGACGATAAAATTCATTAAACATAATACTACAACATTCATGATAAAGAGCCACTAAAACACAAAAATCTATATTACCTGTTGTCATTTGCACATCGTCTTCTGTAAACATGCTCTTCTCTTTCAGCCATTATTTCTTTAGGAACTTACCTGAAACATTTAAACTTGTGGTTTGAGTTTACTAAGTAAACTCAGTGGGTAACTATTTTTTTCTTTTTGTATACAGTTATGGGTCAACACCAAAAAGGTTGACAAAATTCATGGATAAATGCCCTTAGTTTTGGGCATTGTTGTGGATGTTACAAGGATTGATATAATTATTGTTGGCAAGTTGTTGGTGCAAAGCTCCATTCTTGATTCGTTTGAAGCACTATTCGTGTTCATCAAGTGCCTAGTAATCAATATCTTCTTTTGTGACTTCAATATTCATGTAGTGCTCAAACAAGATTCGTACAAGTCATTATTAATTTGATAGCCACTGTCTCCATTTTTTTGACAGGGATAAAATCATTGTAAGAGGTGGAGTAATGATGTGATCCTGATTATTAGCTTAGTAGAATAATTAGCCTAAGTGTGAGCCTGGCAAGTCTATAAATACCCCAATTAGAAGGTAGAAGGCATGATGAAAATGAATGTTCCCCTTACAATCTTAGTTCTCTATTTTATTTCTTTTGTTAAGTGATAGAGCAACTGAAAATATTATAGATAGGAATTTATTTCCTATCAAAGTTGGGATCATGTATGACGGCAAAAGAAAGAAAGTAGCATCATCAATCAAATGACAAAAGGAATAGATATAATTACCTATCTAGAGCATCATCAATTCCATTAGAAAATATACTGCAAACCATGTGTGGTCTAAATGCGAGATGTGTAAACCCCATTGAAGTCTATGCATAGTTCATCAAACATATTTTGAGTTCAATTTGGCAAAAAGGATACCTCGAACAAGTTTATGATGACATCTACAACTAATTGGAAATGACTTTCTTTCCTTTCTACAAACTTTTGCATACACGCAGGTGTAGCAACCAACAGGAACCACGACACGTTCTAGAGCTCTATCTTAATTGAATAGCATGCAATTTTGCAATCCACAGACTGGCGGGGTGTCTCAATTAACCTGAAAACTAAATAATACTGAAGCAAGCATTAATTTACATGGTAGTAAAAGTAGCATCTCACCTCTAGTGAACCTTCGCAAAAGTATATAATTTTCAGGAACTAGAAATAATAAATCCGACATATAATTTGCTTTAATTCCAATTACAACAGCTGTTGACACTGAAACCAGCATAAATAGCAGATTGCATTGGAGAAGTTCAAGATAAAACAATAGAAGTGCAACATCCCTAGTAATGTTTGTATGATGATTTGCTACTTTTAAAATACCAGTCATTCCACAAATTTCATATGTGAAGGAAATGCAGATCGGATATCTTTCATGCTGCTATCATGAAACGAGCCCATTTACGTGACAAAACTAGTGACTTTATTTTGTAGAAATAGTGTAACATTACCAGATGGTGCCGAGGACAACCAACACAGTGGTTTGTATGATGAAATGCATTCTTTTAAGGAATAAATGGCGAAGATGATGAAAGTGAAAGAATATACATAAACAAAAATAAACTACAGAAGGAAATCCACTACTTCAGGCATGAAGCAAGATGAAGCACATAAATGCTCATTTCCTAGGAAACCTCATGTCGCAACGGAAGATTCAATTTCACAAGACGGTAAAACAAGCACATGTTTTTTTAGGAATAAACATATACCTGAAACATTGATTGAAAGACATTTGGCACATCAGAAAAAATGACATCCCACATGAGCAGTCCAAAGATAGTCATCCAAATGCCACTTTCAGAGTGGATGCCAAGCCATCCACCCCCTTCCTCAGCATAGTACTGTAGGGCAAGTTGCTCAACTTCACATAGTTCATCATCACAGCCATAGAATAGACTCTTTAACCCAGTTTCATTATTCAGAGGCCTTCCTACGATTTTAACCTGTTTAGGATCCAGCAGGAAAGGAAAACAAGAAAGAACATCCATCAAATTCATTTATCAAATTTATGAGTTGAAATTCAAAATATTACTTCTTTAATTTTCTGCATAGCAGTATCAGCATAGCTGGGCATTTTCCATCGCCGTGGCGGCCTCCCTAATCGTAAGACTCGTCTTTGTAATGCCATTTTAGAACCAGCACGAATGCAAGGATCTCCCACCCCTTTTTCAGCCACACATAGGCTTTCATTGAAGTAGCCCAGATGTTCCAAGTCAACAGAGAGCCTCAGGGTCCAATATCCACGCCTGCTGTCACATATAGTTCTCTTTAACAGTTGCCTCAAAAGCCTTGTAGCATCATCATACCTAAAAATAAAAGAAAAACCTTCAGCATATGATCATAAGTGAGGTTTTTGAATATTTAAAAGACAAAGTTAGAGCATTTATTTTAGAGAAGTACTTTTAAGAATAAAAGGAGAGATTGATTGTGATCTTCTCCCATGATTTTTTTTTTATTTTAAGAAAGTATTTTTAAGAATAAAAGAATAGATTGATTGTGATCTACTCCTAAGAATTATTCTCCTATTTTGTTTCCTAAATTTTAGGAAATAATTAAGCAACTTAATTATTTCCTTTATTAGAACTTTTTTAATATATATATATATATATATATATATATATATATATATATATGTGTGTGTGTGTGTGTGTGTGTGTGTGTGTGTGTCTGTGTAGCACAGATTTTTAACAAAAACAATAATGAATTAACAAAATCTTCATGGTATCAGAGCTAGTTCTCTAAACATTAAACCCTGTAGGCCACCTCACTCTAGAAGACTCTTTCTGGATGTCTTTTCTCTGGTTCTCATCCTAATTCTTTCTAACTGATTTTGCCAGGTCAGTGTTCGTATCGACCTTCTTCTTCTATATTTCTAGCAACTATATTCGCTTTTCTCCCTCATCTTCTTCTTTGCAATACAAATTGGCCTCATTACAAACTTTCGACATCATGGCACCAAAATTAAAATCAGGAAACAGTTCAAAAATTCCAAACCTTGGTGGCAATGATTCTTCTCCTATTCCATCACAGGACATGAATTAAATGGCCATAAGTATTTGCAGTGGTCACAACCTATTTTGCTCCCATATCTTTTTGCTTTTTGCTTTAGTCATAGATGTTCTCACTAGACATTTGCAAGAGATTTTACCCTGGTATATGCTTTTTGCTAATGATATTCTTCTTGTTGCTATTCATTTGTGGTAGCAGCTATTAATGACCATGTCATGTTTCATCAATTCAATAAACGATGACAAGGAATTTCTTGTTATTTGGGACTACAAAAAATATGGGATGGAACCAAAGAGACATATACCAACTCTAAAACTACTTCAAAATTGTTTCAAGTTAAATCAGTACTTCATAACTTCCACCAAGGAGAGCAGTCTGTTACTCAGTATGACAATACACTCACATAGTAATGGCAATAACTTAACTTATTTGAAACTCACTCATAGATATGTCTTTAATTCGATCTATTAAAGTTAATTCTACAATCATCTGATATAATTTTACAGTTTCTCCATTTCCTTTATCAACTGAACATTCCAAGTAATCATCCAGTTTATTATAATTCCTGTGGATTTGTGAATCAAAGCATCGCCCACAATATTAGCTTTTCTAGGACAACACTAAATATCCACATCATAATTCTTGATCAGCTTTAACCATCTTTTTTGTCTCAGATTTAATTCTTTGTATGAAGAAATATATTTTAAGTTTTAATGATCAGTAAATATTTCACATCTTACCCCATACAAATAATGCACCTAATTTTTTAAAGCAAACACTACTGTTGCCAGCTCTAAATAATGAGTAGGATAATTTCTTTCATGTGATTTCAATTGTCTCGATGCATATGGCATCATCTTTTTTTTCAGCATTAAAACACATCCTAATCCCTTCAAAGAAGCATTACTGTAAATCTGAAATCCGTCTGGTCATGATGGAATTGCAAACAATGGTGTTGTAGTCCGATGCATCTTCAATGCTTGAAAGCACTTTTAACAATCTATAGTCCATTCAAATTTAACATCTTTTTTCATCAACTTGGCCAAGAGCAGAACAATTTGTGAGGATCCGTTAACAAATCTCTTATAATATCCAGCCGATCCCAAGATGCTACGAACCACTATAACATTCTTTAGTATAAGTCATTCCAAGGTTACTTTCTCCTTCTGAGGACCTACTAAATTCCTTCACCCTTATAATATGCCTCAAGAATTAATACTTCTTAGCCAAAATTCATATTTTGAATATTTTACATACAATTGATTTTTCCTAAATATTTTCAAAACTATCTTTAAATGCTCAACATGCTCATCATCTGTCAATGAGTATATCAAAATCTCATCAATGAAATAATCATAAATTGATCTATATAATCACTAAAAACTCGATTCATCATATCAAAAAAAATAGCAGAAGCATTCATCAACCCAAAAGGAATGACTACGAATTCAAAATGACCATATTTGGTCCCAAAAACTATCTTGCATTTGTTTTTTTACTCTAACTTGATGATAACCTGATCTCAAATCAATTCTGAAAAATACATTAGCGACGGCTAACTAATTAAACAAATCATTTATGTGAGGTAATGGATATTTGTTCTTGATAGTCACTTTGTTCAACACTCAGTAGTCAATACACATTTCCATGGATCCATCTTTCTTCTTAACAAAAAATATATGTGCACTCCAGGGTGAATTACTAGCCCTGATGAATCCCTTCTCCATTAATTCCTGCAATTGAGCTTTCAATTATTTCAATTCCTTTGGAGTCATCTTATAAGGAGATTTGTATATTGTTGATGTTCCTTGTAGTAATTCTATATCAAATTCAACTTCCCTTTTAGAAACTCAAAAAATTCTTCAAAAAATACATCTGAATATTCTGATACCACAAGGACATTCTGTAATGTCATATATCTTTATTTAATAAATTCATTTTAACTAAGAATACTGACTCACCCCTCAAATATTTATACATCTTTATTGCACTAATAAGAGAAGATATCACATTCTAGTCACATGGAAAGTAGATGTTCTCATTCAGAAAACTAAAATTTATCCTCTTCTTACAACATTCAATTATGACAAAATATTTAACAAGTCAATCTATTTCCAAAACGATATTAAAAGTTTCAATAGGCACTAAAATCGACTTTGTTGAAAATTTTTAACCCTGAATATCAAGATTCATAGAACACTTCCTATTGGCATTATACAATCTCCAATAAGCATCATAACACATAATGCAAGTGTAAAGCATACAATCTCAAAAAATAAGTCAAAAGGTGCTCTCTCCATTAAGACTGAAAATTCGTTTATAGCAAAAGATGTTAATGTTAGCCTCAAAATCCCTGAGATATCTCAAAAATCTGTGGCAATTTTCTTCCTGGGTGCTGACATAATGAGGTGTATATTGAGATGGAGAAGTAAATTCTGTTTCATATTGCATAAATATCATTAAACCTTCGATTCAATTGAAAATTTTATCTTAAAGAGCTAATTTAGCCCATTAAGAATAAACTAATCTCTGAACATCATCACAAAATCATTCCATTGTGTTCTTGGGATATGCATCAATCCAAATTTCTCTTTATGCTAGGCTTGCCACCATCTTTCTGTAAAACCCGAAAATGCCGTTTTAGACCTCGCACGCTTTTCAAAGCACCGCAACGAGTTTTAAGTGAAAAATTCAAGGTTGTCGGATTTCGACGGGCAGCTCCGACGACGATTTTCCGGCGAGAAAATTTGAGGAAAATGTAGAGGAGGATAAGGAAAGTCAAAGGTATGCATTGGAATCTAATTTTTCCTTCTCATTCTCAAGATATTTGGAAAGGAAGATTCTAGGGTTTTGTTTAAAAAGGAATTAAGATTTAATGTTTATTTGTGTTAATGATTTCTTTATATTAATTATTAGGAATTAAGGTTAATGTTGGATAAGCGGAATTTGATAAATGATTAAACAAATTAAATTCATATTTTTGTAATTATGAAAAGAAGAGAGAGAGTGTGAGAGAAAGAGAGAACTAGAATAGTTTAGAAAGAGAAGGAGAATTTTGTTTTAAATCATTTTGTAGATTTTTTTATGAGAATTTAATTCTTATAGGTGATAATTGTGGTAACCTCGAAGGAAGAAGAGCTAGTGTGAAATCGAATCCCACGGATCAGTAAGTATGCATGTTTCTTTATTTACATGTTTCTTTATTTACAGTAATGAATTTTGTTTCTGTCTAGTTATATGATTTAATAGATCAAGCATGTTTAGAAAATATTCACTTTTGTTCAATGTTGATCATAAAATTTATATGATACATCTTGTGACATTATTATGCAAAGTTAATGTATTATAGAGATGAAATGAAATGAAATGATATGATATGATATAAATGTTATATTGAATGCTTGAATGTGCATGCTGAAATGATACAGCTCACCCCCTGATGGTACTAGCTGGGGACGCTGTACTCGTGCACGTTAAAATGATAAAGGATATGTAAAAGAAAATGGTAAAGGAGTACCTTTATGGTACGAGACGGTGGGGTGACGGATGTAATAATATTTATACGAAATGAGAAAGTTAAGTATATTGATATGAATATGGAAATGAAATGAAAAATACGGCTTTATGATATGATATGTTTAATGTTATGTTAGTATGAAATCATTTTTATGTTATGTTCATATGAAATTGGCATTTAGCATATTTTCACTTTGCCTTGATTATTATAATTTAGAATCGTGTTTTACTTACTGAGCTTCGGCTTAATGTTAGTTGTTAACATTTTTTTTCAAGTAAGTTTAAGTAAATCAAAATGAGTAGAAGAGGCGGTAACATATACCGTAGAAGAGGAGCGCCTGAAGGAAGGTAACTTTATGAATATCAATGATTTTATGTTTATGTACTTTCAAATTTGATGTTTTAGAGGCTCTTTCAAATTATTATGGAGATAGATTTAGAGATTAGATAATTTAACCTACAATCCGACCTTTATTCCCGCCTTGCCCATGTGAGCTCATCGGGCCGGATCGTGACAAAAGTGGTATCAGAGCAAATGTTTAGAAATATTGATCAATATGAAAGAGCCAATAGAATGATTATCTAGGTTAGTTAAGGTGTAGTGTATATGTTATAGATTGCTAATTTTGTTTGATTGCGTTACATCTTAGAGCCATGTCCCTGAAAGCGATGGCACTACAGGAGAGATTAGGAGAGAAATACCTATAGTAGCAGAGCCTTCGAATAGTAGCATCAATGCTACTATGGAATCTTTTGCACAGATGATGGCAGCTATGACCCA